ATGCTTTAGCCCATCAACAAGAAGCACATCCTTTATCTCTAAAGTATTTGCACCATCAATGTTTCCGATTCCAAGTATCTTTCCTTTGTTGTTGTCCCGATAGGTTACATATCCTTGTTCTTTAGCTTTGAAACTTACAAATTTTGTTTTGTCTCCGGTCATATGTTTTGAACATCCACTATCAAGATACCACATAGACTTCTTGGATTTGGAAGTTTCCTACAAAACAAAAACATAGTAAACTTAGGACCCCATAACTTTTGAGTCCTTGGGGTTAGAAACAAACAAATCATTTAACTATAGGAACTCAAACATATTTTCCTTTAGGAACACCAAAATGCTTAATTTTACATCTATTTTAGGTATGACCATGTTTCATACAATAAAAGCATGCATTAGATGTAATTTTTGAATATGATACATTTCTAACTATTGAAGTTTTAGTTCCTTTTTTAACACATACTCTTCTATTTTTAATTTTAGGCTTTTTCAAAGGAACATGACAATTTTCTCTATTTTGAACAATAGCAACTTTATCCTTATAATTATCACTTATTTCCTTCTTAGCTTTATCAAGCAAATGTCTAAGTATATCAATATCATGTTCATACTCTTTACATGATGCACATACTATATTTTTATTATCTTTTTCTTCTAAACATACAATTTTCGTTTTTAAGGACTCCACCTCTTTTTCGGATTTATTTAAACACTTTTTCACATATTTGTATTCATTTTTCAAGTCCTTAAAAGCATTAAACAATTCTTCATATGCATTTTGTAATTCATCAAAGTTATTTTCATCATCACTTGAGGAAGAGTCGGAATCACTAACCTCAAAATCGGAAGATATGTTGTCTTTTGCCATCAAACAAATGTTAGTTTCAATTTCCGAATCACTTGACTCTGAACTTGAATCACTATCGTCCCAAGCAATGTAGGTTTTCTTCTTGAAAAATTTCTTGTCCTGTTTTTACATGTCCTGCTTCACCACAACCATAACATTTAATATTTAAAGAAGTATTTTCTCTTACCTTTCCCTTACCTTTGAATGGTTGTTTCCCTTTGGCTTTCATGAACTTGGTAAATTTCTTTATCATAAGACTCAATTGTTCTTCTTCTTTAATTTCTAAGTCTTCTTCTTCCTTCTTGTTCTTACTCTTTGAAATTTCAGTTTTGAAGGCAGGATTCCTCTTTTGATGTTGACCTTCTTCATCATTTAGTCTTCCAAGTTCAAGTCCGTGCTCTCTCAACTTTCCAAAGAGCGCCGCCATAGACACTGTTGCAAGATTTTGTGACTCCGTGATGGCAGTCACCTTAGGTTGTCATTTCCTATCCAAAGATTTCATAATTTTTACATTTAGTTCATCAACATAAAAAATTTTACCTAACTTGGTGAGATGATTCACTATGTGCGTGAAACGCTTTTGAACATCAAAGATTGTTTTCCCTTGTTGCATCCGGAACATCTCATATTCTTGGATCAATGAATTCTTCTGTGCTCTTTTTACATCGTCGGTACCTTTGTGGGTTACTCTTAACATTTTCCACATTTCTTAAGCACTCTTACAAACAAAGATCCTGTAAAACTCATCAAGGGTTAAAGCAGATGAAATAATATTTCTAGCCCTAACATCATATTAGTGTTTTCTATTTTCCTCAGCCGACCATCTAGAAAATGGTTTTGGTACCTCTTCTCCGTTTTCAGTAATTTTAGGAATAAAGGGACCATTTAAAATTGCATCACAAACACCTCTATCAACAGACTCCAAAAATATTTGCATTCTAACTTTCCAAAAAGGATAATTTTGCCCCGCAAAAAATGGGGGTCTATTGATAGAAGCACCCTCGGAAAACGTTTGATTTTGTCCGGCCATTTTCGAAAATTGAATGACTATCAAAGCAAGCTCTGATACCACTTGTTAGAATCGTGCAGCGGAATGTTTGTGTTTACGGACAAAAACCAAGAGGGGGTTGAATTGGTTTCTTAAACAAAAATTAGGGTTTTAAAATGTTCCCCAAATTTCACCGATTAAAATTATGTGTAAAAGTAAATAGAGAAGGGATAGAAGATTACACAGTCGATTTATACTGGTTCAGATCAAAAGACCCTACGTCCAGTTGCTAATCACTCAAACAGAGGATTAATGTTGTCACTATAATCACAGTTTTACAAACAGATAACAAATGAAAAGATAAGGTAAAGAATACACCTCTCTTGAGTCACACAAGAGATGAACACCTCCTTTGAATCCACAAATGATGAAGAACAACTTTCCTTAGAAACGGCACAGCACACAATCCACCAAGGAAACCCACTCAGTGATTCTTATCGCTTCTAGCCCACACTAGGTTTCAAAAGCCCCTTTTTCCTCCCAACAAACAGTTATCTGGCAGTCACATCTCTTAACTTTTGTTTGAAAAAGGTTGTTCATTTTGCAGAGAGCCTTAGAGAACTTTAAGTAGAAAGATTAGGGTTTGGGAATTGGGGATTTTCGAAAATAGATGAATTGGGAATAGAGTTTTCAAAACTTGGTCCAATTTTGAATTTCAAAACACATATCTGACTGAAATAATCGATTATCTTGAGTGTTAATCGATTATTCCAGAGCTAAATTCGCAGAGAACCCAAAACAGCTCCAGTTAATCGATTAACAGGGTTTTTAATTGATTAACAGCCTAGTTAATCGATTAACAGGGTGTTTAATCGATTATTCCAGAGAGTAGATGCTAAAAATGGTTTTCTCTCTGTAATAATCGATTATCCTGTCATTTAATCGATTAATCCAGTATGTTTTTGATAAAAATAAGTTTTTAAAGCCTTTAAAGAGTGAACTATGTGTTGGCTATCTTGGACTCTAATATTACAGACTCAAAATCATAAAAATAGAGTTATTACATAACATTATAAGTCTTTAAATCTTTAAGTCCTTTATTCTTATATCATCATCAAAATCTATAAACTCCATATCCTTGTATGTTCAACATTCATATCCTTGTATGTTTTCACAGTTCATGGTGGATCTAAGTCTCACCTTTTCCTACTAATAGTTGCTGAAGGCTTTGCTAAAGCTCCTCATTTTTTAGGTGCAACTGATCTTGTTCATTCCGAGCCTTCTTTGGTCTTAGTTGAGCTTCTTCATGTTGCTTCTCCAGCTATTCCATCATTGACATCATGCACTGGACCATGAGGTTGTCTTCCCTCATGGGTTGAGATTTTGCTCATGTGTTGCACATGACTATTATTGTGAGGTGAGAAAGTGAATTTTATTTTGTCCTCATAGACGAGACCAAGATGTTACTACTAGAGATAGGGTTCTCCAATTAGTAGAGATGGATAATCTAAACACACAAAAACTTTTACAATTTTAATCATATATTTATTATTAAATAAAATTTAAAAAAAACAAAACAAAATATATATATATATATATATATATATATATATATATATATATATATATATATATATATATATGATTTTCTTTCCTTACAGATAAAGTTATCATACAAACATAAACTCTCATCGCTTATCTTCAAATGTCTTTCTATCCATATGTTACCTTACATGTTATCTTTAAAATATTATAATAAATAAATTTTAGAATAAACCATTTATTAATAATTTTTTAATTTATTTTAAGAGAGAATATCAACATTTATGATTTATTAAAATATAAATAATATTTTAATCATTCAATTGTAAATAATAACATGAAAGTAATATATTAAAAGTGAAATTTAAGGTGTAATATTAAAAGTAATTTATCGAAGGAATATTAAAAACAATAAAAAATCAGTCTTCACAACATATTAAAAACAAATAATATATAATTATCTTATTTATATAAAATAGTAAATATATTATTTAATTAATTAGGTATCTTAGAAATTAAAAGATACCAATTTCAACCTTAACATATAAATTGTTGCTATGTATATATTTTAAAATTATTGTCGATATACTTTAAAATAATTAAATAATTTTAATATAAAATATTTTATTAACTCAATCATCTTTACTAATATTTTTATTTTAACACTAAATTAACTCTAGTTAATGGTAAAAAAAAGAAATACATAAAAGATGTCATTAATATATAAATAATATTTTTTTTAAATATTAAAATCTAACATAATCATATTTACAGAGTTAAAATCATATTCAAATTTACATAATATTTTCTATAAAAAACTAACAAATTAAATATCGAATTATGTTTATACGGCAAGTATTAGATTTTTTATCTAGTACTTTCAATTTCAGTTCTCTAACAACACCTTGTATAAATTGTTGATCCACTTAAACTCAAGAAAATAAAAATAATAATTTGATAACTAAATGAAATATATTACTAATATAATAATAACTATTATTGTTATATTTTGGGTTTAGGCAGATGCATTATCTCTGTGGATAATCAAGAATGTGGGTCATTCAAATATCAGTCACTGTGGATACTGACACAGACGATGCAGCAGTGTCCCACCCAAAACGGCCTCACCACTTAAATATCAAGTAATTTATTATGTGATGCACAGATCAATTACTAACTTTCAATTTGATGGAATTCATAATCAATTAACAAAAATTGTCTCTTCCAAGTTTGACAGCAAAAATGACAATTTGCTCATGGACTACATTCTCAAAATGGGTTATCTAATTTAATTTTTATTTTTAAATAAATTATAAAATTTTTTATCTAGTCTAATTCTACGATCATTTTGATTTTATTAAATTTTATTTTAGATATAATAGTTTAATATATAAATTAAAAAAATCATCCTATCTCAAACCAATATATATATATATATATATATATATATATATATATATATATATAATAAACTAATATTATTTATATTTTTATTTAAAAAAATTATTATTATTATTTTATAAACGATAATTTAATCTAAATTTATATAGATTATGATTTAAATAAATTAAAATAAAATAGCTTTAATTTAATTAAGTTGTAAATTTTTTAATATAAAGTAACTTATTTTTTATGAATGGGTTGGTTGGGACAGACCCATATGACCTTAAATCTATTGTGAGCGCCGTTAGGACCAACGACTTGCATAAAGAATAGTGCTGCAAAGCGAAAGGGAAACAGTATGGTTTTGTTGAGTTACATTAACAGCGTAATGTGAAGTGATATATTTCAGGTATGTGTGTGCAACAAGATATCAATGAAGTTACAATTTCTGTTCTACAATCTACGTGTAAAGAATGGAACATAGAGAACACTAAAAATCATAATCCACTGAGAAGCATACATGTATTCAAGCTATTTAATTATCTTGTGTGTTACCCGTAGCCAGTGAGACCTTGCTGAGCCTGCTCGGTGATATCTTGGCCGCATCATTATTACCTCTATCTTTTCTGTGATTGGAACCTTTAAAACCATAAACTGCTCTATATGCCACTGCTCTTCCCAAGTGCCATTTTTCAGGATTCTTTACACTCCATGATGCTTGAACACTGCTGTCTGAACCATCGCCACTGTCTTTCTCAGTAGACATTTCTTTTTCTGTTTTCAGAATAATGCAAGACAAGAAGAAGCGGAGTTTTGTGGAGGAAAGCTCATAGCTGATACTACCTCATATATATAGAGTTAGGAAAATAAGAAACCATCAACAAAACTATTGGAGACATCATTGGAAAAGGGGTTTATATAAGATTTACATTCACTTGAATACTATATTATCAAACCATAACAATTTTTAAAAATAAATTTTAATACTATGTTATAAAATAAATTTTGATTTAATTTAAGCTTAATTTTAAGTTCACGTAATGAATATCATTAACGCATCTCTAGTATCAAGCTTTCAACATCTAAAACATATAAGACTATTTTACCATCCAAACAAACATTAATACTATTTTTTTTATGAATAACTTTTGCGAACGACAAGGAGATGCTAAAAGAGAGAAAAGTAATAGCCCTAGGGAACTCTTTACTACTTGTAAGACCATTTTACTATTTTATATATTGTCTTCCATGAGAAGATGGAGCAATATATACAGTAGGCTCTTAACAATGTGAACATACTTTTATGCCGAACGTTTCCGACTGAATTTTGTAGCACACAGAAGACAAGATTGGATTAATTGTTTGTTTCTTTTATGTGCTTTTTTTCATATACATTTGGGGAGTAACTGATGTATAATATGATAAAAAAAAAACGATAGCGTAAGTTAGAAACATTATTTAAAAAATGGGATTATATATAAATATTACAATATTTTCATTTAATCTTTTCAAAAATATATACATTTTTCATTTGGTCCCTCGTTTGGAGGAGTTAGACAAAATCTTCTGATATTCAGAAAGGTGAGATGAGAAAAATAAAACATAAATAAATGAAATAAACCTTCGGTAACCCAAAATATTTATCGCTTACGCATTTTGAAGAAAGAGTAAAAATTGTTAGACAACACGATTGCTTAGGAGCTGTTTTTATTTTTTTTCACGTTATTGTCGATATATCATTGTTCTTCGAGGAAAAAATCAGGATCTAACAGTTTTTTTTTTTTTAAGATCAAATATTGAATTAAAATTGTTACTATCAATGATAAAAGTTTCACAGTCTCGTATCATTTAGTATGATTTAAATACATGTTAAGCTACTCATCTTTCCGATTATTATTATGGACCAAAAATTACCCTTGTTGGGTCAAAAATACCCTTTGCCTAATCTGGCACGTGTTGAAAGTTAAATACATGTTAGACTACTTCATATATTACCAATTGGTTTTATGTTGAAACATTAACAAATATATTTATTTTTATAATTATTTATATAAATATTTAAAAATAGAAAATAACATAAAAAGAAGTAATTATTTTTAAATCTCTATTTTCACTGTCCTCCCAATTTTCCCTCAAATTCTCTTCTATCAAACACAACCTTTGTCGATACAGACTTCCTACACAGACTTTATTGAACTGTCTCTATCCTTATCAATTTTTCAGATAAAGCGAATGGTAAGATTCAAAGTGAGAAACAGTTTGCTTGATGAAGTAAAAAAGTGTTATCTTAACTCCGTGCACCTTGAACCACACTTTGAGTTCATTAAAGAAAAATCTAAGCGAAATAAAACTTGGATTTTATTTTTATGAACTTCCAAACACGCACCCGAAGGGTAACCCCTCGTCACCTGTACATTAACTCCCCTAGTAATCGCAAGCTGTAACAATCTTGGTTTTGGAAAACAAAAGGAACTTAATGGGGGCTTACATCCAAAAGCTCTCATTATTTAAGCAGTAATTCAATCTGACGCTGAATTTTACTCGCCTTAAGATTTTCAAGACACAGTGGAAATGCCTTTCAGACATTCTGAAGGTAAAGTTGAGAAAGAGAACTTTAGCAGGCCATAGGAGAATCAACAAATATAACCAACAAGATATGTACTTACTGAAAAAGCATGGCTAGTTTCTAATGGAAGATATATACAAGGAACATAGATATGTACACGTCATTGCCTTTTGCGTGATTGCATTTGCGTCATCCATTACAACTTCATATATATCCCTTTCTTGTGAAGGAAACCAGCAAAAATACCCCAGAATAAAATCTCAACCATTACAAAGGCCATTGTACCCCACTTTTTGGAATGAAATATGGCCTGCATTAAAGCTTCGCTGGCGTCAACCTGCATATTAAATTACCAAAATAACCAAATTTACTAAGGAATGCTAGGAAAAAGTAGTTTTCACAATTCTCGCCCTATGAAAGCAAACCATGGCTATGTTTGGTTCGACCATGAAAATGGAGTTAAATAATTTTTCTTTACTTTTTGCTTCTGTAGGTGAAAAATACTTTGCAGTGGCCAAAATATGTGAAGAGGTATGTATATGGGTTCCAATGTCACATTTTTTTTTCGTACAAAGCAAGTGTGAAGCAATTTATCATTCCAAACTCTCCAGGTACTCAAACAAGTATAATCTACATATCCTCCACAAACAGGATGGGGAATGTTAACTCCTATTAAAAGTTTAATCTTCAAAGGAAAAAACAAGTTCTAGCTATATAACTTAATAAAAGTGGAGATATTCAAAGAATCATTGGGAAACAAACATTACCAAATTATTTTCAGGAGAATGCCAATAGAAACCCTGGATAACTGCCGGGAAAATGTCACAAGCTGCCAATGCATATACAACGAGAGCATTCATTCCCATCCATTGCAGTAAAATTGTAGGCTTTGTGTGATGTTCTATGTCAACCTGAAAGAAAATATGTTTTGATGAAGTTGCAGGTTTTTAAACATTTGCCAGCTATTACAGTCACCCATTGAAAACAGAATGTCAGCATTTTTTTTTTCTGGCAGTGTTCAATTGGTTTAACAAATGAACTCAACAATGGATGGGTGGATACTTGTAGGCTCAACAAGTGCACCAGATAGGGCTATCGAGGGCTGTATGGGTGATCCCAAACAATGGCCCTCAAAACACATGTATACACCTTGGGACTAGGAGATTAACTGCATGAAGTACAAGCTTACCACCTTTTGTTTATCTGCCTATAATCTCTTCTTTCCCTGGGATATAATTTATTTCTACTTTAGAGACAAGGATGAACTTACAGTGTAATAGATAGCAGTTAAGACTAAGCCCGATGCCCCTGCAGTTATGCACATGTAGCTTAATGTGTACAGTGCTTTTGATAAAGGAATTCCTGAAAAACTATGTGTTAGAGAATTGAAAACCTTTTCATCTTACGAAATTTATAATAGGAATAGTACCTAAAATCTCCAGAATGTATCCTACTAACAATAGAGCGAGGGAAAACACGGACCAAAGAAGTACCCTCTGCTTGTGATCCTGAATGGACAAAGACAGCAGTTCAATTATAAAATATATACATATCCTAGGGAGAAATTTAAATCTTCCACCTAAGGGATCATAATCGAAACCTGCAAAAATACAATTATGTGCCCATATTGCAATCCCAAGAAACACGTAATCGCAGCCATCAGTGAACTGGAAGATTTAAGAAAATCAATTAGCAGACATTGCATTGATAATATTTTAAAGCTGTGAATGCCAATATAACCTCAGGTATAAAAATACAGATACATGAGAGAGCAGTGAAAACATATTAACATAGCATAAACCAAGTACTCTGCAAAACTCAATAAAATAAAATATCTTGATATTGGTGGTGACACAAATTATAAGATTTAACTGTCATTTCCAATGGCACTAAAATAATTATAAAAGAAAGGATAAAAGGAGGGAGCACCACCTCAAAATACCCTCTGGATCAAATGGTGCAAGGCACCATCCGGGTGAATCTGGAGGCAAGGGTCCATAGTCAGGAGAGTTGACACTACACTCCTGAAAATGAAAAGAAGGGCATGAATAAGATCGTTTAATAGATAAAATAAATGAAATTTGAGGTGGCACTAGATTCGATAAAGGAGTAAGGAGTTGTTTGAGAGGATAAATAACCTCTGTTCTCATGTACACAGGTCGCTGGTACATATGATCTTGACCAAGAATTAATCTATCAACAAATCCCACAGCATTACAAGGAGGTTCAAGGCTGCCCCTCACTTCACAATGAACCTGGGAACAACTATGGTATGCTGAGTTCATTCTCCATGATAAAAATAACACATAATTTAAAAATGGTAATAAGCATGAAAACCAAGCCATCACAATCCATGAAGAATGAAATGGAAGAAATGCCAATCATCATAATGTGACACAACATACATCTGTATCTTACTATTCTCTAATATTTATGGATTATCTATGAATATTACTCTCTTTAGATTACTATTTTCTAAGTCTGTTTAGTAAGTACACGCTAAATCATTTCTAAATAGCATGATGCGTTGTTTCTAGTCTAGGAGAGTTTCATCATTTTATGAAATACAAACTTTTGATTTTTAAAAAGTGAAGAGCCATGGATTAGTGAAAGAGATGATTTGTGATATTTGGAAGTACAGAACTGAAGCTTATATCCCATCCAATACTAAACAACTGCTTGATAGTGCAAGCAAATTTCCAAGTTAGTTGTTTGGTCACTATTTCAATAGCTAAAACTTCTAATGGATTTTTAGAATCTAGGATGTGTTATAGAAATTAGATTTGTCATAAGAAAAGGTTTTCCCTAGCATATAGTTTAGCTTTTAATGCAATTATAAATGTTGTAAGTTCACAACAATGTTCTTATTGGTTAACCAAGCAACTTATTTAACAAACAGAAGGGGAGACTAAATAGGCAATTCTATTTCTAAACAAAATACAAAACAGTTTTCTGATCCATGAGATTTAATAATGATCAGGATACAGCTTAATCCATACTTCTACCATTATAAGACAGTTTCTGTTTCAGCAAACTAGGGGAGGATGTGCATAAATTATTAGTTGACAGCTGTCACATGCGAAGGATTCACTATCAATAATAAGAACCCAGATTACACGTAATCAAAACCCTACTATATTATAAGAGTCGCTTTTTGACCAGAATTGGGGGGTTGATGTACAGGGGGTTATAAATTACATAACACAGGGTCTATAAAAGATATCAGCAATAAAAAACCGAACATGTCAACTTTGTCTACCGTATGCAATGAGTCATAAGTTAAGTCCACAAGGAATCATAAACAAAAATTCATCATATGTTTTTCAGCATTCAATCTACAGTGAAAAATTCCTCACACTATGAATAAATGATAGATGACTGGACCCAAGCATATTAGAATGTTCGAATTTCCAATTCGGAACATAGATACCGTAGAGCAAGCAAAGGTACACTGAGCAAAGCAAGATAGAAAACATCCTGCAAAAAGCAACAAGCGATCAGCACAAAGAATATCCTCAGGCAAGCAAAGGTAGTGCCACAGATGTTTAATTATGACAGTTAGATGCAGAGAGCTAGTATCTTGGATCCAATAAAGTAACCTGAATTTTATTTATTTATTTATTTTTGCAAAAATAGTAGATTAAAATGTTTATAAAATATACATTCAGACTTTTGTATAAAGGTTATGCATTTAGCCAAATAATGTGAAGGAAAACTTCTCATGATTCACAAATAGTTCATTAACCTTTTGTAACAAAGTTCAGTTGCAAGTTGCAACATTAGTTTATATCGAAATATCAGGTTCTAATGATGGCTGAAGTTTTTCATCTCAAGAGATTAAATCCAATAAACAAAAGTTGAAACCAAATCTGAATATACAAAAAAAAAAAGAAAAAAATGTATATCTTAATCAAGTGTTCACTTTAATATCCCGCATAGTGAACGGTAGAACAAAAAGATCCATGACACATAACAAGTATGTCCATTTCATATTAGAATGTGAAAATTAAAACATAAGGGCATTATAGAACCCAAAGTCATATCCATCATTTCATGAATCAGGTCATCAAAACCCAACCAATCCAAACAACAAAACCGGAAACTGATTTTTTTTGGATTAAAAAGTTCTAAAACCAAAACGAACTGCAATTATAATATATATACTAAAATTAAATGGTATTTATTGTGAGTAAACCAATTAAAACATAAAACACCACATAAAATATAGGAAACTAAAAATTCTAATTATTCAAATCTATCCCAACAAAAAAAAACACATTACCATCCAACCTCCAATTATACAATTTTATCCTAAAGAAACCTAGCAAAAACCCAACACTGTCCCGGACAACAGAATATTGTTCGTAGTAACTGAATAATAATGCAACAATGTGACAACAAAATCAACTACAATAATGCATTTCATTTACATCAAGAAATATTCATTTAAACTATTAATTGATTATTTCTTATGACTTAGAATATTAGTTATTATTTTATTTGATATGGAATATGTAATTTTATCTAACATCTAATTTTAGTTTCTTATAATTTAGAACATATATTGTTATTATTGAATGTGAAAGCATAAACCTCCCAAACCAAACCGCAAAATATTGGTTTGGTTTCCGAATTGTTTTTTTAAATTAAAACCAAACCGTATTAAATTTTGTTTGATTTGAGTGACTTTTTCGTATAAAACCGAACCAAATCACACCGCGTACACCCCTAATCAGGTCCCAGAATATGCATCAATATGAAATGAGAATTAGCAAAACAATAATCTACTATACAAACATTTATAAGAAAATGAAAAAGAGACATGAACTTGTTATGTATATTTATATTTAACATAGAAATTGCAACATTTAATTGCCAAGCTCAGTCTGTTGAAAGAATTATACACCAGAAAAGTAAACTAACCACTGAATGGAATATTTCCTCACAAAAGCTGCCGGGGAGTCAACCAAAATATTATGGTTTACAAGCCAAATCTCTGATATTGAGGCCAAGAAATATCCAATAGATATCCTCTGCATTCCAGACAAGGAAACGATGTATCAAACTCTAAACACATTTATAAAACTAAAGCAATAGGTAATTGATATTATCTTATGGGTCACCTTTTCTCTCAGCAGTAATACCTATATCCTACAATAGTACAAGTAATTTCAATGACTTAATGACCCTTCTACTATCGCAGATCTTTAATCATCCTTAACATTAAACATTGTATTTACACCAAGCATTGACTACAGTCAAGTAGTGACATTATAAAGTAAGTGAAAGTCACTTGTTAACTATAGTTGAAACAGATACGTTATTTGACAAAGCATCAATGCTGCCAATTGTCAGTGGCCTGTAGTAAATCATGAATAAAATAATATGAACAACAATAATACACGACCTATTGAATTAGAAATAACCAAAAGGAAAATGCCTAACATGTTAAGGGTTAACAAAAATTTACTGGTTGCAGCTACCTGAAGTACACCAAGCCAGCGCATCTTGCTCAAATCAACTCCATATGTTAATTTGCCACGCCCATGGAAATACCCACCTATGAATACGTTTCAGACAGAAATGTTAAAGCAATGGCTATCAATTGCATCACTTATCAAGCAAAAGCGAAGATACCTTGAAGTAACAGCCCCAAAAGGAAAAGCTTAATTGTCCTCAATACAACCTTTTTCGTGGCATTGGGTTTGCTAGAGACTTTCTGAAATGTTATCCAAGATTTTAAACATTGTTCAAAGTTATTGTTCTTTCAATATGTGTACGTCTATATGTATAAGTAAACCACTAATATATATAAATAAAATTATACAATCTCCAAAATCCAAAACATCACTCGTTAAGTGATATAAAGTACAAAATTGCAGCAAATAACAGTATCCTTATTTAAGAGGCTGAGGCAACTAAAGGCAGGAACGGAATTGGGAGATTACGTACGTACCTTGAATACAAGACCAATCGAAACGCCAACCACAAAGAGAAAAAACGGCATTACAAAATCGGCTAGTGTCACCCCAAACCATGGTGAATGATTCAAAGACGGAAATGCTCTTCCCACATTATCAACTAATATCATCAACTGCAGCAGAATTTGAGAGATTCATTCCAATGCAACTAAATTCCAGTTATTGGAATCATAAGATGGATAACGGCAAAATTAAAAATAAAATCAAATCAAATAATAGTCTTATTAGCTAATTTTCTTCGCCCTGTTATATCGATGGTAAGCAATTAATGCTAAGGTAGTAAAAGTAATTAAAACGTCTTGAGTGGCGCTTTCCAAGTAATAATAAACATGAAGTAATTGAAGTGGGGACGAACCGCAACGGTTAGACCGCGGAAGACATCCAGAGAAGCAAGGCGTTGGTTAGGAACGGACAAGGAGGGTGAAGATAGCGTGTCTGTATGGTTGAATGGCAAAGGAGAGATAGTGTCTTCATTTTGATGAAGGATGTGAATTGAGGAATCAAAATCATTGTTGATAAGCGGTGTTCCCTGTTCTTCTGCAACACAGTCATCTACCTCACTGGGCATTTCTTCTCACAATCTCGTTTCCGTTCCGATCCAAGTCTCCCGTGAGGCTATTTTAGTATTTTCACGTTTGGTGACCACTCCTTTATTTGGGCTAAGCCCGTAGCATAGTTGAAAAAAATATATAATAATGAGTTATAATAGTATAATATCATTTATTTAATGAGTTATATCGATTGAATAATATGACAATTTTTCAAGATGAGTGCACATGAACATCATACTTTAGAGAATAATGATTTTAATAATTTCTTCTAACATGTTTAATGCGCAAAAATAAACTAATTCAATACACCGAAAGAATTGTTTACCTAAAAGAAACAAAGGAAACTTTTTAATGGAAATTAATTTTTAATAAAACTAATAAATATTTCGCATCAATTTAAAAACTCAATGAACTATCGGATTATAAATTAAAAGAGTTAGGTTAATTATTTTTTTTGTTAATATTTTATCCTTTCTTCGACTGTAACTGGTAAATAGAGTGATCTCTCATCCATCCCAAATTATATTTTTAAGCATTCAATGCATTAAAAAACATTAAATATTATTTTACCTTTTTTAACAAATATTATTTTTCTCTTAATTATCAGAAAATAAGCTCTCTTAAGACTGTTATCAAAAACGTAATTTTAAGTATTAATCATGACTTAGGTGCTAGCATGTGGCTTAAAACAATTTACAGTTCAATTCTAAGACACTGTTGGAAGAGAAGTTTGAAACAAAACTTTTTAGAGAAAATTAGAATGCAGTACACTGATAGCCTTGACGAAAAATTCACACGTATCTGTAATCCTTGAAGTTCATGTATGATGTTAAACTTTTATTTTTTTATTTTGTGGGGGCATACAACCATTGACCAGTACGTTCAAGAAGTTCAAGACACAAGTGTCAAGTGTGCTTCGGAAACCTAGACTAAATTTTAATATTTTGAAATCTCTTGGGTGTATTTCATTTGCATGAATTTGCCATGATTCAAGTACATGGTGGTATTTAAGGTTGGGAAAGGAAGGGAAAAAAAATCTGCAATATCTTTCAACTTTTGACCAATGAGTCAAATTAATCTGTAATACAATCTTCATTAATTCGATCTTCCTACATCATAGTTGTTTGTTCCTGCCATTCCATTATTCTTTGTCAAAATTTAATGTAGCGCAAGATGCCCTTTAGCATCCAAAAGCTTACCCAGTTTTTCTGCAACCATAGTCAAAGTTGCATCGCGCTTGCAGAACGCAAACCTGATGTATCTCTTCTGGTAGTTAGAAACTTCATTTGATGATGAGGAGTTTGTATGGACAAATCCTCGTCCTGGAACAGCCACTACCCCTGCTTCTAGTATTAGTTTTTTGACAAATTCTACCTGGGAACAACAAAACGTTATTGCTAGAAAGCAATAGTAGAACAATGAACTTGTTTATTGCAGGAAAATCACAACTTAAATGCAATCAAGGGTCGTGACCGTTGAAATAGTTACTACACTAATATCTACTAGAGAAGAGAGTAAAGAGTGCATACATCTGTCTGGGGGCAACTGTCAGGAAGCTCAGCAAATAAGAAGAAGGAACCCTGAGGTTTAAATTCAATCTTAAAACCTACTCCCCCTAGCAAATTGATGATATAGTCTCTTTTTGATTGATAATCCTACGTAGATTAAAAATAACACCAGGAAAACAAGTAAGAATATAGCATTTTGTTCGGGGGGGAGAGGAGTGAATAATGCCATCAAATGTACTTTGATCTCTTACATTTCGAAGTGATTCAAAGTATTCAGGAGGACTTCTCAGAGCACTCAACGCAGCTTCCTGAAAAGGTGCTGGGGCACAATCTGTAACTCTTTGGTGAATCCTGTTTATAGCAGACGCAAGAAAAGCTGGTGCAATTGCCCATCCAACCCTCCAACCTGATACTTGACAGATCCACAGTGACTTAGTTCTTTATAGAAATGATAATAAAGCTAAAAAAACTTCCAGCGTAGTTTGGTTCATGCGGCTTTGACCTGTTACCTGTAACACTAAATGATTTGGACAAAGAAGATGTTATAATAGTCCGCTCTTGCATTCCAGGCAATGAGGCCAGGGATATGTGTTTCAGGTTGTCATACGTTATGTGTTCATATACCTACATACAGCATCCAAAAGAAGGCAAAACATACATATTTAAATACTAGATTTATTCTTGTGCTTATGCAAAATCATGGAGAAGTACGTAATCCAAATTAAAAGCAGATAAACAGTGATAATATTTTTTCCGAGAGAAATCGATTAATGTTTAAAAAAAAAAAAAAAAAAAAAAACAAGCATTCACAGAATGCATGCATAAGTTGTGCCCCTCCAACTATATTTATGTTGTCTAGCCTCTAAGGCATACTTCCCTTAATTACACGAAATAGCAGTGGCAGAAGAAGAATCATGAGACATGTATATCTAATTCTTTTCATTCACCCCACAGATATCATGCTTAAATCCTGAAAGTGAAATTCTATCAGTACATAGTAAAGGAGTATCATACTTCATCGGTTATAGCCAGACAATTCCTGCTGCAGCATTCTCCAGCAATAATCTCAAGTTCATCTTTTGTGAAAACTTTGCCAGTAGGATTGTGAGGACTGTTTAAACTTTATGTCAGCATTTTGTAGTTCACATCATGAAACTGAACATTTTTTACAAACATTGTGACGCATATAAAAAAACTTGTAGTGAGTGATTGTTTTTATCATAACTGTCGTTGCAAGCATCCAAAATAATGAAAGGAAAAAAGCATCTCCTCAATGCTTAACTCTTTCTAATAGGTCTGCAGAAGAGAAATTTTGAACCGCTGAAAAAGGAAACAGAAGGAAAACACAGCAAACTTTTTCAAGGATTGCCATTGCCTCTTGAAAAAAGGGCATATCAGATGCGTAATACTTGGGAATCCTTAACATCAAAATACACAAAATGGATAAGACGAATCATATGTAACATGCAAAATTTCAAATGATTACAAGCTTAAACCATAAACTGGTTGCGACAGCATTTCTTATTCACGTTTTTATTTTAAAAAATTCATTCAATCGCTATTCTATTGGTTGAATTGAAGGATATCAAGGGGACTAACCTGAGGAGTGTGGCTTCCCAAGATGAAGATGAAGTCTATCTAAAGTGAAGGCAATGATTAATTTGTGTAATTTCTAACCTGTTCAGTACTACGACTTTAGTTCTCTCATTAAATGATCCGAAGAATTTGATTGGATCCAGTTTCCATTGAGGCGGGTCAAGTGGCACGTAAATCTGTCCAATTAAGATTACAAAGACAAGGGGTCATTACATACATAAAGGACAAACACATATTTACAAAATCCAGAGACCATTAACATGCAGGACCATTGAATCACCTGAATGTAACAGGTGTAAAAAAAGAAGGAGAATTGACGCCAAATTCTGTTAAGCATAGAGGACACCTGTCAGCTGATACATATGGGATGAAGGTTAGGAAAAGTGCGAGGCCGAGGAAAGAGAATATATGGTGGAAGGACTACTCAATGTTGAAGGGAATTTTGAAGTTGAAATTCTCTCTGCTTCTCTCTGATATGGGTTTCTTCTTGTACCCAAATTCTTCTTCTCCATTCTTCCTTCCTAATGCTTAAATCTGTCAACATTGATGTTCAGGTGAAATTGCTGAGCTGATGCGATGCCAAGCTCTGAAGATTGGGAATTGATTTTTGCAATTTTTATGTTGCTTCTTTTTTATTGTAAACGTGGGAACACTGTTTTATTCATTCAAGTATACAATTCAATCCTAGGAGGAACTGTTTCATTGGTGCTTTCATTGAGCTTCCATGGTTGAGAATACTCGTCTTAAGGAGCTTCAAGCAGCGGCTAAAACTCATTCAGAGGAGATTGGACGTATTGCAAATACGATGGATGTGAATTTCTTGGAACATAATGACCGTATGGATCAAATACAGTTAATGCTGAATCAGATTTTAAAAAATACTACTCAAACACATGGAAGCCCGTCGACCTCAAGCATGACGGTGGTCACGCAACCAAGCGGAGCTACCACAGTTAAGGATATTATGCACTTTGAGAAAGAAGTGGTACCGTGGTTTCAAATGTTACATAGGATTGCTGCTATGAAGAGTTGGTCTGAATTGACTAGAGCAATGGAGTCTCAGTTTGGACCTTCACCTTATGACTGCCCTATGGCGGATCTCTTTAAGTTGACTCAAACAGGTTCTATTTCTGAATATTACCTTAAATTTATGGCATTAGCCAATACGTCTCTTGGTTTAAATGATGAAGCTTTGTTGAATTGTTTCGTGGGAAGGTTGCAAACTGAAATTAAAAGGGATGTGGTAGCTATGGCACCCCCCACCTTGTTACGTGCTGTGTCATTGGCTAGATTATATGAGGAACGTTATTTCCCTGCATTGAAATCTACAAACACCAATCATGTGCATAGATATTCTTCAGTTACTTTAAATACATCTCTTCCTAGTCATGTTGTCTCACAAGCTGCAAAAAATAATTCATTACCTAGTCTATTGCCAACCCCTATTGTTCCACCCTTGAAGAATGCAAATGTGAAGCGTATAAGTCCTGCGGAAATGCAGTTGAGGAGAGAGAAAGGGTTGTGCTATTTTTGTGATAAGAAATTTACCTTTAATCATAAATGCCCCAATAGGTAATTGTTGTTTCTACAATTAGAAGAAGAGGATGAGGTTTGTAATGAGTTAGAAGGAGAGATACAGACGGGGTTAGAATTGTAACCCAATGAGGATCATCATCTGTCATTGAATGCTCTTAAGGGAGGTCTTGGTGTGGGCACTATTTGTTTTCTAGCTTACATTGATAAATTGTCTGTCACTGTTTTAATTGATGAAGGCAATTCAGATCATTTTCTCCAGCCGAGAGTGGCTAAATTTTTAAAGTTGCTTGTTGAATAAGCTCCTCTGTTTAAAGTCATGGTGGGTAATTGAAATTATATGTCTGCTGAAGGAGTGGTTAAGAAATTGCAGGTTCAAGCACAAGGAAATGTATTTCAGCTCCCTGTGTTTTTATTACCTGTATCTGGTGCAGACCTTAATTTAGGAGCAACTTGGCTGAAAACAATTGGATCCCATATAGCTGATTACGAGGCACTACAATTGAAGTTTTTAATGAATGGCAAGTTTACTACATTGCAAGGGGATTCTAACTTGCTTCCTACACAAGCTCAATTAAATCATATTAGGAGAATGGTGACAACGCATTCCATTGCTGAGGTTTATAGCATGCAATTAATGGAGGAATTTACCTCACCTAAATCTCTGTTAGATTTACCCAAGAAAATGGAACCAGAATTAGCTTTATTGTTGCACACTTATAGTAGGGTATTTGATACGCCCACCACTTTTCCTCCTAAGAGATCTCGTGATCATTCAATTACATTGATGGAAGGGTCTCAACCTGTGAAAGTAAAGCCGTATAGATACCCACACAGTTAAAAGGAAGAAATTGAAAAATTAGTAATGGGTATGTTGGCTGAAGGATAATACAACACAACAAAAGTCTTTTTTCTTCTCCAATCATTTTGGTAAAAAAAAAACAAAAAGATGGGTCTTGGAGAGTTTGTACTGACTATAGGACCCTTAATGCCATTACAATTAAGGATTCTTTTCCGATTCCTACCGTGGACAAGCTCATGAATGAACTATTTGGAGCCCAATTTTTTTCCAAAACTGGACCTCAGGACTGGTTATCACCAGATATTATTGAAACCCGAAGACAGACATAATACTGCATTTAGGACACATTTTGGTCACTATGAGTGGTTGGTTATGCCTTTTGGCTTAACCAATGCACCCGCCACTTTTCAGAGCTTAATAAATGATATTTTTGCGGGATTGTTGCGAAAATTTGTCTTAGTCTTCTTTGATGACATATTAGTTTACAGTGCCACTTGGAGAGACCATTTAAATCATTTGGAAGCAGTTTTGAATATATTAAAACAACATCAGTTGTTTGCCCGATTCTCTAAATGTTGTTTTGGACTCCAACAAATTGATTATTTGGAATATACATTGACAGGCTCAGGCATAACTATGGATGCAGCAAAGTTTGAGGCTGTACAAAAGTGGCCAGTTCCAGTGAATTTAAAGCAGCTAAGAGGATTCTTGAGACTGACAGGATATTACAGAAGATTCGTTCAATCATATGCAACTATTGCAGCTCCATTAACTGATCTTTTAAAGAAAGATTCTTTTAAATAGTCAAGCGGCTGCACAAGCTTTTCACAATTTAAAAGTTGTCATGACTTCCACTCCGGTGTTGGCAATGCCGAATTTTAAAGAACCATTTGTATTAGAGACAGACGCCTCAGGCAGTGGTATAGGTGTTGTGTTAAGTCAAAACAAACATCCTATTGCTTATTTTTCAAAGAAGATATCAGGGAGAATGCAGAACCAATCTGCATATGTAGAGAATTCTATGTCATCACTGAAGCTTTGGCTAAGTTCAGACACTACCTTCTTAGCCATAAATTCATTATTCAAACTGATCAGAAAAGTTTAAAAGAATTATTGGAGCAGAGGTTGCAAACCCCAGAGCAACAATAATGGCTTCTTAAATTCTTAGGATATGATTTTAGTATTCAATACAAGCCAGGGAAAGAAAGCATTCCACCAGATGCCTTATCTAGGAGCTTTATGATGGCAATTTCGGAACCCATTCATTCTTGGATGAATCGCGTCATTGAGATGACTCAAACAGATCTCGAGTTAATGAAAATTTATCAAAGTTGTTTGCAAGGAAAGCCTCCTGTAGCGGATTATGCTGTTCAAAATGGGTTATTGATGTTCAAGGGTAAAATTGTAATACCAAAGGATATGGCTTTATTAAATCAGATTATACAGGAGTTTCATGGTTCCAAAATAGGTGGACGTGCTGGATTCATAGAACCATAATGCGAATTGCATCTCAATTTTATTGGAATAGAATGTGAAATGATATTAGCAAGTTTGTGAGAGAATGCTCTATTTGCCAACAAGCTAAAGTAGATCATGTTCTTCCTGCTGGGTTACTGCAGTCATTGCCAATTCCCCAACAAATTTGGGAGGATATAGCCATGGATTTTATTGTGCAATTACCACTTTCCCAAGGATTTTCAATCATATTTGTAGTGGTAGATAGACTCTCCAAATTCGGTTATTTCATTCCTATGAAAGCTAATTTTAATAGTAAAATGGTTGCAGAGGCTTTCATTAACAATATAGTAAAAATTCATGGATTCCCCAAGTCTATAATATCTGACAAAGATAGAGTTTTCATTAGTTCCTTTTGGCAACAATTATTCAAGACTCAAGGAACAACTTTGTCTATGAGCTCTTCTTGTCACCCTCAGTCAGATGGCTAGACTGAGAATCTCAATAAAACATTAGAAATGTATCTAAGATGTTTTGTTTTTTATCATCCTAAGATGTGGGTCTCAATGCTTCCATGGGCTCAATTCTAGTATAACACCTCTCATCATCAGAGTTTAGGAATGACTCCATTCCAAGTTGTGTTTGGTAGACCTCCACCATCAATAAACACATATGAAGAGGATGCTCGAGATCCCATTCAGCTAAGGGAATCGTTAAAACAAAGAGACCAGTTATTAAATAAGCTTAGAGGAAATTTACTCAAAGCACAACAGTATATGAAGATGCAAGCGGATAGAAAGTGGAGGGATTTACAATTTAAAGGTGACTTGGTCTTGGTGAAACTTCAGCCATATAGGCAACATTCTATTACCTTACGAAAACATCAGAAGTTAGGAATGCGATATTTTGGTCCATTTCCTGTGTTGGAAAAGATAGGCAATGTTGCATATAAGTTGAAATTTCCAGAATCAGCAAGGATTCACCCGATCTTTCATGTGGCTCTTCTTAAACCATTTCATGGTGTAGACTCCCAGCCTTATGTTCCCTTACCACTCACATCAACAGATATGGGTCCACTACTCAATCCATTGAAATTGTTGGATGCCCGAGTGATAAAACGGATGGATACTGAGGTTTCACAAGTCTTGATTCAATGGGAAAGCATGAAAGTTGTTGATGCAACATGGGAAGATTGTCAAGACATTTTGGATTCATATCCTCACTTCAACCTTGAGGACAAGGTTGCTTTCAATGAGAAGGGCAATGTAACAGGTGTAAAAATAGGAGAATTGACGCCAAATTCTGTTAGGCATAGAGGACACGTGTCAGCTGATACATATGAGATGAAGGTTAGGAAAAGTGCAAGGATGAGGAAAGAGAATATATGGTGGAAGGACTATTCATGTTGAAGGGAATTTTGAAGGTGAAATTCTCTCTGCTTCTTCTCTCTGATATGGGTTTCTTCTTGTACCCAAATTCTTCTTCTCCATTCTTCCTTCCTAATGCTTAAATCTGTCAACATTGATGTTCAGGTGAAATTTCTAAGCTGATGCGATGCCATGCTCTGGAGATTGGGAATTGATTTTTGCAATTTTTATGTTGTTGTTTTCTTTTTCATTGTAAACGTGGGAACACTATTTTATTCATTCAAATGTACAATTCAATCTTGGGAGGAACTGTTTCATTGGTGTTTGTTGAAAGTCCCACATCGCCTACCTCATGCCATTTGGTATGGTTTAAATACATGTTAGGTTACTCTACATATAGCCAATTGGTTTTATGTTGGAACCTTAACATGGTATCAGAGCCAAAGCCTAACATCTTTCCGGTTATTGTCATGGGCCAAAAGTTGCCCTTTAGTTGGGTCAAAAGTACCCTTTGCCTAGTCCGGCAGGCTTCGTTGGAGAGAGCGTGTTGAAAGTCCCACATTGCCTACCTCATGTCATTTGGTATGGTTTAAATACATGTTAGGTTACTCCATAGTATTGTTGGTGTTGATGGACTCTATTCCTTTCCCAACCTAAAGCTTCACCAACCATCTGTGTTGATGTCCTCTTCAACTTAAACATGTTCAGATTCTGCAGAGTTGTCGTCCAATTCTAACGCTGTTTTCAATTCCAATGATGTAAATAAAATTTCAAATGTAGCTTTGACCCCTACTTCTCACTCTCTGTGGCATTCTAGGTTGGGCCATCCTAACTCTCATGTTCTTAAACTTGTTCTGAATCATTGTAAAGTTCCTTCTTCCAATAAAAATTTGAATGAGTTTTGCTCCTCATGTTGTGTAGGGAAGTCACATCGACTTCCTTCCTCTGTTTCTGAAACTATTTACTCTGTACCCTCAGAATTAATTTTTACTGACTTGTGGGGACCTTCTCACATTTCTTCTCACTCTGGATATGGCTACTATGTTTCCTTTATTGATGCGTATTCACAGTTTACATGGATATATCCCTTGAAATCCAAAGCCGAGACACTTTCTGTTTTTCAACAATTCAAAGCTATGGTTGAACTTCAGCTAAATTCCAAAATTAAAAGTGTTCAGTCTGATTGGGGAGGGGAATTCAGGTCTTTTACTACTTTGTTGAATAATCATGGCATCACTCATCGGTTGATTTGTCCTCATACACACCATCAAAATGGTGTGGTGGAAAGGAAACATAGACACATTGTCGATTTGGGTCTTACCCTCCTCCATCATGCTTCTTTACCTCTTGCCTTTTGGGACTTTGCTTTCACTACAACAGTCTATCTAATCAACAGATTACCTACTGCCTCATCAAACTTTAGCATTCCTTTCACGGTTTTGTTTAAAAAATTGCCTGATTATATGTTTTTAAGAACTTTTGGGTGTACTTGTTTCCCTTTTCTACGACCCTACAATACTCACAAACTTGATTTTAGATCACAAGAGTGTGTTTTTTTAGGGTATTCATCTTCTCACAAAGGATACAAATGTCTCTCTTCTTCAGGCAAAATCTACATTTCAAAAGATGTGATTTTCAATGAGCACAGATTTCCTTTTTGTAATATTTTTCAGCAACGTTCTCTTTCTCTCTCTTCCCTCTCCCAATATTTTACTCTTAATCCTGACCTCTCACCACCATGTTCCACTCCTCTTACCCTCAAAATTTTGTTTCCTCTCCTATCTCAACCGCAGGTCACTCACAACAGCCTATTTTGTCTTCTCCTAATAGTTCCCATACTGTTGAAAATAGTGTTTCGCCTGTGTCACCCACTGTGTCACAGCCTGAGTCCACTTCTTCCTCTATTCCTGAGTCCAGTACTCCCACTAAACCTGTTCCCAGAACTACTAATGATCATCCTATGCAAACCAGGTCCAAATCAGGAATACACTGTCCTCGAATTTGTCCCTCCTTGTTGTTGGCTCATACGGAACTCAAAGGTTTCAAACAAGCTCTGGCTGATCCAGCTTGGTTTTCGGCCATGCAGCAAGAGTATTCTGCTCTATTAAAGAACCACACTTGGGTTTTAGTTCCCTTACCCCCTGATCGAAAGGCAGTACGGTGTAAATGGGTTTTTAGAATAAAAGAAAATGCAGATGGGTCCATCAACAAGTACAAAGCTCGGTTAGTTGCCAAGGATTTTCATCAAGTCCCTGGCTTTGATTTTCATGAGACATTTTCTCCTGTTGTTAAGCCTATTACTATTAGAATGTCATTACACTTGCCCTCACTAATCATTGGGAGTTATTTCAGTTGGATATAAATAATGCTTTTCTTAATGGTGTTCTACAGGAGACAGTTTATATGATTCAACCTCTTGGTTTTGAGGTTGCAGATAAATCCCTCGTTTGTCAACTGAATAAAGCTATTTATGGCTTGAAGCAAGCCCCACGACAATGGTTTGACAGACTCAAGGCTACACTTATTCAGTTTGGTTTTCAGGCTAGCAAATGTGATCCATCCTTATTCATCTACAAGCATCAGGCTCATACTGTTTTTCTTCTGGTTTATGTGGATGATAGATATCATCATCACTGGCAGCTCTTCCTCTCTCATTCAGCAACTTACCGATCAGCTCAACTCTACATTCTCTCTCAAACAACTAGGTCATTTGGATTATTTCTTGGGAATTGAGCTCAAGCACTTACCTGACAAGTCTCTTCTCATGACCCAAAGCAAATACATTAGAGACCTTCTTCACAGAACTAACATGGCTGAGGCTCACTCTATTTCTTCCCCTATGGCCTCTTCCTGCAAACTCTCTAAAACTACTAGTGATCTATTTCCAGATCCTACTCTCTACAAATCTGTGGTTGGTGCTTTACAGTATGCCACTCTTACTAGGCCTGATATCTGTTTTGCAGTAAATAAGGTTTGTCAATTTATGGCCAGTCCTTTAGATACTCACTGGATAGCAGTTAAAAGGATCCTAAGGTATCTCAAGGGTACCCTTTCTCATGGCCTTCTTATGCAATCTGGTGTTGGGCAACCTTTATCTATCACAGCTATGTGTGATGCTGATTGGGCTTCTGATATTGATGATAGGCGCTCAACCTCTGGCTCTGCTATTTTCTTAGGTTCTAATTTAATCTCTTGGTGGTCTATAAAACAGCCGGTGATAGCCAGATCCAGTACCAAGGCCGAATATCGCAGTTTAGCTCAGACTTCCGTTGAGTTAACCTGGATTCAAGCTCTCTTACAGGAACTTCAAGTTCCTTTCTCTCCTCCTCGACTACTCTGTGATAATCAAAGTGCAGTAGCCATTGCTCATAACCCTGTCTTTCACAGTAGAACCAAACACATGGAAATTGATGTCTTTTTTGTCAGAGAAAAGGTTCTGTCCAAGCAGCTTTTCATTTCTCATATTCCAGCTTTGGATCAGTGGGCAGATATTTTGACAAAGCCTCTCTCTCCAGCTAGATTTAACTTGCTTAAAGGCAAACTCAATGTGCAGTGTTTCTCTCACAACCCTCCACCTTGAGTTTGAGGGGCATATTAGAATAGAATATGAAAAATATTCTCTTTCTGTTATTTTCTCTCTGTTATAATTGTATGCAGAAAAATGGACGCAACACCACATGGAAGTAAAGCTTATCTATCAATAATTATATGATACAAACTTAAACAAGGTAGAAGATAGCAAGCTTACAGGAACTCCCCCGGCCATGGTAATACATCCTTCATATGATTCATAACAAGGGTCGAACAGTATGACCTCGTCACCCGGGTCAATTGCTGCTTCAAACACAACATTCAAGTTACAATGTTAATGATAACCAACTCCATAACCTTGAAGTTCCTAAACTAAACTAAAAATGTTACAAGACCAACAAAACAGAACACACTTGCAAAGATTGAAGCTGCAAAGGCCTCGCTTTGACCGCAGCAAATAACTACATCCGTAAGAGGGTCGATATCTAAACCATGCATTTCCTTGAACATCTTGGCCAAGTTGTCGCATAAAGCTTGCACGTGCCTAGTTTAGTTTCATAAATTGTTGAAAAAAATGAAGATATCCAGAAGTTATGTTACCGTATTAATTGTTTGACGTTTTGTAAAGTGTGAAGTGAAGAAACCTGTACTGGTTGAAGTCAGAGTTGATTGCAGAAACGGCAGCGTTTTTCATGAGGGGAGGGGCGGGGAAGTCCGGGAAGCCCTCGGCGAGGTTGATGGCGTTGCATTGCTGAGCGAGTTGGGAGAGTTCTCGAATGGAAGAGGGAGCAATCTTCTTTGCTGCGCGCGATAACTTTCCTTCCATTTGTTTCTCTCTGTTTTTCCTTCTTACCCGTGCCTTATCTTTAGGAAAGGATGTTATATTGACACAATCATACTTTTAACATGTTATGATTATAATCATAAGATGGTTTAATTAAAATAAAATTAATTAAAAATTGTTATTTGATTAATAAATGAAATTAATAGTGTATTACTTGAAAACATTAAGTTAAGAGTTAACCTTTTTCCAGAGAAAAGATAAGAAAGATTGATTGATAACTTTTTCTTTACTATTCAACCAACTAATAACTACATTCATTAATAAATAATAATTTCTAATTAATTTTATTTTGATGAAAATATTTTATAATTATAATAATAAATAATAAATCATTGTTAAAATATAATTCTCTATGTATAATAACTCTTCACCGTAAACATTGGGAGAGATATGGAAATTAAATAAAGAAAACAAATAATATAATAATACACAAAAAATTGAATTACTTATAGGTTAAATAATTTGATAGCACAAAATTGAATTTTAATTCCAAATGTATTAGGTATATTTTTCTGTAACTTATTTATATATATATATATATATATATATATATATATATATATATATGTTTGATATTCATCTAAATATATAATATTGATCTAAATTTACTCTTTCAGAAAAAAAAATAAGATTTTTAGATATATTCTAGATTTATCTCTCCACCAGCTTTTTGAAAATATTTCCAGCTGAAAAACTTTTGAAAAGTTTAATCTAAAATCTTTCAAAATTGTTGATTATAAAAATATTTTGAATTAACCTTTTTAAAGCTTTTTAAAAATGTTTTAAATCATTGTTAGCATAAAATTAATTTTGAAACACTTTTAAAAAGTTTTCGAAATATGTCTAGAACGAGTATTTTAGAAAATTTATTAAAGAGTAGATTCAGAATAATAATTTACAAAAGATCTATGGATTTTATATATATATCTCTTTTTTTTCATTTTATTTTTTTTGAAACCTCACGCTTTCACCATGTGTTCCCCACCTCCTCTTTCACATTCATCACTTTCTTTTACATTTTTACATGATACATGCTAAACCACTTCATTAATTTTGGACTTTAAACCAACACAACCAGACACCCCACACTATTTTTGTACCCCTTGTAGTCCTCACTTGGTGTGCATTTGAGCGATGACACTAGTTTGGATTGTAGTCCTCACTTGTTTGCATTTTAGCGATGACACTAGTTTAGAGTTTTGGTCGAAGGGGAGTGATGGCATCATATCATGTATACTTGTCATTGTTAACGTAAGTGACAATAATATCAGAATTATCAAACAAAGAGAATAAAAATAATAAAAAGAGCTTATTATTATCTCAAGAATGTGAAATACATGGGTATATAAAATCACAAGAAAACAAAAAAACAAAAGAAAGCAAATAAACTAAGCTCAATAGAAAACTAACTCTGATATATCCTAATAATCCCCCCTCAAGTTGGAGAAAAAATATTTTTGAAAGCCAACTTGCTGATCAGATATTGAAACTTATGTTGTGGAAGGTTTTGTAAAACATCAACTATTTGTTAATGTAACTTCACATGAATGAGGCGTATGAAACCAGATTCAACATGTTCTTTGACAAAATGGACATCAATATCAATGTGTTTGGGTCTTTGATGTGAGATAGGATTTATTGAAAGATGAATAACAAAAATATTATCACATAACATCATGACCATGTTAGGTTGATGTTGAAAGAACGGGAGGAGTTGTTTAAGCCATAACAATTCTAAAGTTATAAAAGCAATAGTCATATACTCAGCTTCTGCTAAAAATCTTGAAATAGTAACTTTTTTTTTTCAAGTTAGAAGAGAATCTCCAATAAAGATGCAAAAACCTATAGTGGATCTTCTGTTGTGAACATAACTTCCCTAATCAACATCCACATAAGCACTCAAAGTTAGAGTAGATTGCGAAGAGAAAAAAAATCCCTTGTCCTAGAGTTGCCTTTAGATATTTGAGAATTTAATGAACAAATTGAAGATGTGGTGTCTATGGTTGGCTCATGAATTGACTCAACTTATTCACTACAAAACAAATATCAGGTCTAAAGATATTTATATCATGAGTCTACCTAGCAGCCTTCTATAGGCAAAGGGATCTGGAAGAGGTTCTCCATCGATTGAGTTGAAATGCTTATTAGGATCCATTGGAATGGCAGCAGGCTTAGCATTGCTAAAACTTGTGTAAGCTAAAAGTTGAAGAATGTACTTTTGTTGAGACAAGTGAATGCGTTGTTTTGATTTGACAATTTCCAAACTAAGGAAGAATTTCAAGTCTCCTACAATGGTTAGTTTGAACAAATTTTGGAGAAGAGTTTGACAGTTGTGTTAAAGAATCTGAATTTAGCCCTACAAGAATAATATCATCGACGTACACTAGCAAGTAAACAATGTTATTTGCACTACCAAATCTAAAAGAGAAGAATCACTAGTGCATTAAATAAATCCATGAGATTGTAAGGACTTGGAAAAACATTTAAACCATTGATGTGAGGTTTGTCTTAGGCCATATAAGGATCTATTCAGTTTTCACACAACGTTACTTTGATTCTAATGTTTTAAATTTTAACCCTGAGGTATTTTCAGTTGAACCTTTTCATCTAGATATCCATTCAGAAACACATTTTGGACATCTAGTTATATAAAAGTCCACTGTTTAATGCATGTACGAGATAAAAAAAAAACTCTAACAATAGTGACAGTAGCAACTGGGGAAAAAGTGTCAAGAAAATCTATCTATATCTGCTTCTTATGTAAATCCACTAGCAACAAGTCTGGCCTTTCTTTTGGCTAAAGAACCATCAACATTATATTTTTCTTTGAAAATCCACTTACAGCTTATAGCCTTATTGTCCTTTGGTAAAGGAACAATATCCCTTGTGTTGTTGATATCCAAGACTTCTACCTCTTTGTCCATTGTTTTCTTCCATCCAGGGAGTTTAACAGCCTAATGATAATAAGTGGGTTCATAAAAGCTACTAATTTACATAACAAAATTTTTGTATCCAGCAAATAGCTTATCATAAGAAAGAAAATGGCATATGGAGTTTGAAGAATGTAGGTTGGGAAAAGAAACTTGATATTCATTTAGATATGATGAAAGGTTGATTTATTGTGAGGATCTTCTTATAGGATGTTGAATGTTATAATTAGGCTCAGTCCCAAAAGTAGGTTGAGGAAGATTATCTTGTTCTATATTTGGAACAAGATCAAAAAAGTGGATCTTAGGATAGTGTTATGTAGTAGGCCTAGGAACAACAATATCACGAAAAAGATCTCGATCTTGATTACGATCATATGTAAATATGGTTTGTTGAAGAGAAAAAGGCATAATTTCTTCATGAAAAATAACATCCCTATAAACTATAATTTTTTTAGTTTCAATACTATACAATTTATATCCTTTTTATTCTTGGAGGATAACTAATGAACATAGTGGGTTCAACTCGGGGGTTGAATTTATATCTTTCATGTTTTGAGAATTAGCTTGACATAAAGAACCAGAATTTTTGAAATTATTATAGTAAGGTTCAATTTGATAAAACATTTGATAAAGGTTTCTCTTGTGTAAAGTAAAGGGAGGAAACCTATTTATGATGTAAGTAGCAGTCAAAATACAATCTCCCCAAAACACTATAGGCACTTTGGACTGAAACAACAAAAATCTAGCCACATTTAAAAGTTGTTGATGTTTTCTTTCAACAAAGAATTTTGTTCTGGAGTATAAGGACATGAAAATTGATGTAATGTACCTTCAGAAGCTAAAAAATCATAAAGCAAAATCTCCTTAGCATTATCACTTTGTAAACATTTTATAGATTACAAGTTTGAAAAAAATGTTGTATGTAATCGAATGCTTGATTTTTAGATTTTAATAAAAAATTCCATGTGATTTACTATGATAATCAACTAAAGTGAGAAAGAATATGTGATTGTCATAAGTGACAGTGTGAAAAGGTCTCCAAATATCATAGTGTATCAAATCAAAGCAATACGTAGAGAAGTGATTATTACTATTAAAAGAAAGGCGTTTTTATTTACCTAATGGACATATACAACAATCTTTGCATGAAAAATTACCAGGTAAGTTCAAATTGGTTTTATTATGAATCATCCTGAGAACATCATTAGAAAGATGGCCTAACCTGTAGTGTCATTTGTTTACAACATATTTTTTTAGGATTATTATTAACAGTGACAACTATATTATTAAAAGAATACAAGAAAGAACTAAAAAATGTATTGTTTGTATTATTGAAGAATGTAGAGGTCATCTAGGATGCTACCTTTGTCATTCATTCACCCTTGAATCCTAGGCCTGTATGCAAAATAAGAATGATAAAAAATAACTTTGTGATTATGAAACTGAGTTAGAGAACTTACATATATAAGATTGACTTTAAAGTCTGGTATAAACAAGACTTTGTGTAGAATGACATGGTTATTCAGTTTAATAAAGTTAAATGACTTTAATAGTAACAACAGTTCCAGTGGGGAGATAGATTTATTGATTGTCTAAATTGCTATAGCAAACATAATTATACAAAGAACATATAATATGTGCAGTAGCTCCAGAGTCTATTATCCAAACAGAGGAATTTCCTTTATTTGGATAAGTATTGAAGACCAAGTTCTTAAAGAAAGGAAAATTGAACATACCATATTTATGGGAGTTTGAAAGATTGGATTATTGTGATGTGCTAGCAGGTGCTACCTGATTTTGAAGATATAAAAGTTTATCATATTGGGCTTTGGTCAACTGCACTAGACTTTCTCCTACATTAGAATCAGTGACTTGATTAATAATAGGGTTGGATTTTTTATAACCAGCAGGGTACCCATGCTTCTTTTAACATTTGTTTTCAATATGACCGAGTATTTTGTAGTAACTACATTTTGGTCTTTCTTTCTTGGGAAGACCAGATTATTGTGTTTTGGAGTTGGATTGAGGAACAACAAAGGAAATGGATGATGG